CGCCCGTGCGCACCGCCGCGCCGCGATGCGCCCCATGACGCCCGCCGCCTGACTCCTGCCGGACACCGGCACGCGCCACGCCTGCCGCTCAGGCGTGACTGCTCTGAGGACTGGCACGGCCTGGGCGTCATGTTAGCGTCGCCCGATTCCTGGGGGAATGTCGAGCAGAGGGCATACATGCATACATGCGGACGCGTTTTGCAGATTTTAAGGTCTTACGCAGTATCTTTGTGGCTTCACGAACGCTCGTCGTTAAAGTTAGGTGAAGCTCCTCGAGTGGAATTAAAGGCGAGCCGCAAAGGTGCAGCAGCGTCGGAGGATGCAGCAGACGAATGGTCGATTCGAACTGACAGACGCCCCAGTTAACAGTCAAACAGGACACATGAAGTCTGGATGCGTCGCGTGACAACAGAGCCGTTCCCGTCTAGTCTCGGGTTTTGACGGATTGATCGGTTCTGATCAAACTCTGACCTTTGTGGCCAGATGTGACCCTTTGAATGTTATCTGAATGAAGCCTCAATAACACATACTTCACGACTTTGGAAGGTCTTTTTTACATATTCCCTTCATTGATGTGATTTGTTTAGGCCTAACACAGCCATAGCGGCCAACACAATAACTTGTTTTCGCTGGTCTGACCTCGTATGACATAGTATAGGTCAAATGTGTCCGACTAGTAATTATCAGATGGAGTTCTCCAAGAACTACTCAGCGCCGTCTTCTGCATTGCCACAGCATGATTAGGTCTTGATATATGATTAGTAATTTCTATTAGGCTCATTCAATCATTTTGATCTGATCTGACTAGCCAAAGGTCACACTTCCCATCATTCAGGTGCACTTATCTGGTGCAGTCTGGCAATGGATTTCCAATGGGAATGGATGGCAATGGATTTCCGTTTTCCTCGTGACTCTAACTTACTTAGTGTTTGAGATCTTAGGGACATCTGAGGCCCCTTGCAGGACGAAGTCGAAAATATTTCGTAGGGCAAGGGTTAAACCACCTAGCAAAAGGATCTTGATCATGCCTTTTCTCGAAATGATGTGAACGAAAGAAACACATAGCAAAGTGTATTGAATGTCTATGCTAAGAAAATTAGCTTCCCTGTCCGATTTCTTCAAGTGCTGAATAAGATCGTTTTTCAACTTGCTGTCCACGATGAAGCACTCCGGCACGAAACGTGTTGGATCGGCTCCGACCACGTCTTTATATATATATATATATATATATATATATATATATATATATATATATATATATATATATATGCCATTCGCCAATGCAGACAGAGGTATCTCATTACTTTAGTTCAATAGGATTGTCGGTGTTTGTGATTCAATCTGATCTTCGGGCATCAGATGTTTGAGAATTTAATGTGAGAATGTTCTCTTGTAGTGTACTTGGAGTTTGACATTTTGACAGCTATTCATGACATTGTATTAAAGAAATGTTCCATTCGTTCCTCAAATATGCTTTTAAACTAGGCGGGCAATCCGTCTGTGCCCGGGGATCATAACTAGCAATCGCTTGTAGATTTCGGTAAGTACTTCCAATGCCGGTGTATTGTACAACTTACCTTTCTGCCTTCAAGGTACCTCTTTCATGCTGACGCCGTCAACAAAGTCCTCGGCATTTTTCCGTCTTGCGATATGCATATTTATCCAAATTGCTATGCCCGATCCATGGATGTACCCGTTCAGTATGGATACCGGCGGGGTCGTCCAGTCCATGAAGTCCTCTAAGGGCACGACAACGTCGCAAAAGACGCGGGATATCGCTTGTCAAACTCCATGGAATGTCGGTCGACATACCCGTTGACATGTATCAAACGGGTCATGAACGGCAACGTCACCCCGCAAAAAATATTCATCCTCCGCATTTGATCGGAGGGATGTAAAAATCCTGAGAACTCCGCTACCGAAAACAAGCACGAGCACCCTCTGCGGCTGCCTCCGTTCAGCCAGGGCTGAACCTAAGACCGGACGAGGACTGATGGGATTGTGAGCAGCCATTGCCCTTGTCCATCTCAAATTGCCTCGCTTCGCTGCACTCTCTAGTTGACCTGCGACCAGAGTGTCGTTACACCCACCGTGCAGGGGCTCTGGCCGGCGCTCTCACGGTTGCGCCCGTGGTCCCGACGGCTGTGACGGACAAACCGTTCCGCTGATTGGTCGGCGCCGGGGATGGGGCGCGCCCCGGGCGGCCGTGCGGCCCCGGCCGCCCGCCGCCGCCGGCGCTGGTTAGCTGCGGCGACAGCGCGGACGACAGGGGACAGATCGCTGCCGTGGGAACGTGCCATTAGTGGGCCGACGGCGGCCGCGCTTGCGGCGGCCCGAGGCCAGGGTCGGCCGGTTGTCGCGGGAACGGCGTTCGGTGTCCGCGCCGGCCCGGCCCGGCTCCCAGACTCCGCCTACGCCGCGGCGGGCGCCGGACGCGTGCGGTCGGCGATCGGTCGGCGCACTTGCCGCGTCACTGCCGCCGTCGTCGGTGTCAGACATCACCTCTGCGGCATCTTTCGGGCTCCATGATCGCGGTTGTCACGTTACTCATCCGCGCAAGTAGCTGCTTCGGTCATGAGCGTGTCAGCGTCTTGTGACGATTGTCGCCGTTATGGGATCAGTGAATAATTGTCAATTTCCAAGTTGGAACTGGCACGTTAAAGTATGTAATAGAATATCGGAGACGTTTTCTCCGGTTCCATTCCTCCCCGCTTACCCACCGGTTGCGTGTGATTGATCGACTTCCACTGATTGGGTGCAAAGTCGGCTTTGCTTCATCACAATCGATTGAAATCGGGATTGTAGGCTTTCGGCGAAGGAGATGCATAGTTTCTGCAGGTGAATACAATCAGCTCATTCCCTTCTGCATGCCGCGCCATGACTGAGACATCCCTTCAAATAAATTACAGCCGTCGTGTCTGTACTCCGGAGCCAAACTTCATTAATCATATCTCCATTGTCAATCTGCCTCGGTCGGCTGGCATCGGCGGTTTTTGCGCTCGCCGGCAGGCCGTGATGTCACTTATGTTCCGCCTGTTTTGACTGATGGTGGCACACAGCTGAACGGCCCTCTACGCCCCGAGAAGTGATCGGAATAGTGATTGGTGCATCACCTGTTGGCAGCCGGCCATTCGTATTCGGAGCGGCCAGCGGCCTGCCAGACTGCGCGGCCCCGGCTTCATAGATCATGAGCAGCGGGCGAGGCCGAGCCCCCCGCCAGCCCAGCGGCGGCACGCCCGCCGGCGCTGGAGCTCTCGGCCCGTCTGGGGCACTCTGGAACTCACAGCCGGTCCAGGGCACTCTGGAACTCAAAGCCGGTCCGGGGCACTCTGGAACTCGCAGCCGGTCCAGGGCACTCTGGAACTCATAGCCCGTCCGGGGCACTCTGGAACTCACAGCCGGTACAGGGCACTCTGGAACTCGCAGCCGGTACAGGGCACTCTGGAACTCGCGGCCGGTCCAGGGCACTCTGGAACTCACAGCCCGTCTGGGGCACTCTGAAACTCACGGCCCGTCAGGGGCACTCTGGAACTCACAGCCGGTCCGGGGCACTCTTGAACTTGCAGCCCGTCCGGGGCACTCTGGAACTCACAGCCGGTCCAGTGTACTCTGGAATTCGCGGCCGGTCCAGGTCGCTCTGGAACTCACAGCCGGTCCAGGGCACTCTGGAACTCGCAGCGGGATCCGGACACTTTGAAACGCACGGCGGGTCACGGGCACTCACGCTCAGGGTTCCAGTAACTGCGGAACTTACAGCACGTCCTGTTCACTGAAGAGGCATGCAGCACCACCTCTGGTCGGTGTTCGAATGCTGGGCTCTCGAAAGTTCTCGGAAATTATAACAATTGACAGGACTTCTGTATCTTGTGACCTTCCAAAACAAAAGGGACGGCGTTAAAACTTGCCGTGCCTGCGTGATGCGGACACTTGTGAGGGTTGTGAAAGGCTGGTGCCACTTGGCCGTTATTCAGCAGATGTGTCGGCAAGTGTGGATTTGGTTCATGGTCAATCCCCATGCGCTGAACTGCTCATTTTCCTTTGATTTCTCGCCGGTAAAGGGGAATTATTCGATCACGGTTCTCATCCATAAATAGTAATTTGGTCTGAAAGGTCACTGGTCGACCTGAAGGGGTCAAATAGAGAGCGGCTGAATTCTTCAGATGCCAAACTAACCATGGGTTTTTGATTGCTGCCTCTGAAGCATTGACTGGCAGAAGATGACGAGGGCTTCACACTCACCGCGCCAGCGGCGCAAATAAAAGTTCTGCCACCACCGATCAAGCTCAGAAGCTTCAAAGACTACACGAAATTCCCGGAGGCCGCGGTCCCGCTGGGGAACTACTCAGACGTCATTTCAAAAGCGTCGACATCGAGCAAGCCGTCGTCCCCTCCGCATGAAAGCCCGACGAAATTTAGCTAGCAGCGGTCCACAGCCTTATGCTCCATTGCTTGCCTGCCGTGTGCGGCGCCGTCGCGACCCCTGCTCGCAGGTGGGGGTTCGGCCTCCGTCGCCGTCGCCCGCCGGCGCGGCGGGCTCGCGCGCGCGGCACCGCGTCAGAAGTCGGCGCGGACGCGGCCGCTTGGCGCAGTCGGCGGTCCTAGTGCGGGCGGCAGACTCAACAGACGGGTCGGCGGCCGGTACCCTGAGGCGCCACCGCGGTTCGCCGGCAAACACAGGCGGCCATGTAATGAAGCTCGCCAGATGTGTTGAACAGGCCCAGTAAATAGAGAGGCCCGCATCACGGCAGCCGCTGTAAACTGGACTCCAGGTGTGCGGAGCGGCAAGAGACTGAGAGAAAGAGGGAGAGGAGGAAAGAGGGAGAGAAGGTAGAGGGGGAGGGAGAGGGAAAGAGAAAGAAAGAGGGTTGGGGGAAGAGGGAAAGGGGTGGGGGAGGGAGAGGGGAGGGAGAGGAAAAGTTCTCTCTCTTCCCTCTCTCTTTCCCTTTCTCTTTTTCTCTCCCTCTCTCTCTCTCTCTCTCGCTCTCTCTCTCTCTCTCTCTCTCTCTCTCTCTGAGAGAGAGAGAGAGCTCGAGAGAGAGAGGGAGAGAGAGGGAGCGGTGAATAGTGTGGTCTTGCCATTGTGATTTTGTAGACCTGT